CCCCAAAACCCCAAAACCCCGTAAAATTCTTATAAAAGGTATGTAGGAAATTAGATTAATTTATTTAATTTTATCTACTAAATTAAACAAAATTGATCGTAAATATAACATTTAATTCCTAGACTAGATTTTATGAGAATATTAACGATTCATTAAATCAAGCATAGTTTTCCCCCTTCAAGCAAAAGCATTGATAGATAAAATCATAAATTGGCTCTTGAATATTTTTAGTACTTTTTAGCTAGAGAGATATCTTCTTTGCATTGATTTGTTAATTATGCTAGTGTTATATTTTCATTATCATCACCATCCCCACTTGTAAGCTTAATCTAACCATTATCTGAATCATTAAATCTTTAAGTCTGTTTACTCGAATTTTATCTTTAAAAATTTTAATTCTTTCTTTTTTTATCACTTAATATTTAAGCATCATCTTCTGTTGGGTCTTTGGTTTAAAGCCTTTAAAGTAGAGTCATCTTAGAATTCTGCTTCTTCAATTTATCCTACCAATCTTTTAATTTCCTTTTAAAAACTCCTCTTATAAGATTGCATTCTATAGTTTCAAGTTTTTTCCCCTCAAAAGATTGCATCATTTTTTTCAATTTTCCATATGTAACTAATCTTATCATCGGATTCCTATGTTCCATTAGACTTAATGTATCTAGATTATTATCATCAGAATCAGAAGATTCAGAACTTGTCTCTAGGACATTTTACCTTTAAAATCTTAATAGCATCCTATGCTGCTAGTTCAGCATTGATTAAGAGAGCAATTTAAACTTTCTTAAAGTCTTTATAAGTTGTATAACATCTAATTCCATTTCTAATTTCTACTTGCCCTTTTAATAATAAAAATGCTTCTTGAACTCTTGTTAATCATTGCTTCATTGTCATCTAATGTTTAAGTATGCCTCTTAGAGCTTAATTTAATTGAACATTCGTCTGCTTGATATGGAATTCTTTATGAATTCGACCCAGAATTTACTTTAAAAACTTTTTTGTCTCATTTTCCCCGAGCTCAGCATATTAGACCTTATGATTACTCCTTGCATAATATCGCTAAAAAACATACGCCTAATAATCTAGCCCACGATAATTAAACCAACAGAAAGAAGTGATCTATACAATCCACCCATGTCTCCTAGGTATTCTAATAAGGAATATATTTTTCTGCTGTATAAGTCATATTTCATATCAAATCTCATATAAACAACAGCAATATATCCATCTACTTCAGAATAGCCATCATCATAAGTTCTCTCATTCGAGATCTAATGAAATTTATATGAGTCAATCTATCCAAATTAAACATAACTATCCTGGGT